TTCCTCTTCCTGCGGCAGTAATTTTACAGGCTACACAGCAAGACAATCACAAGGCAGAGGTGAGTATGGCGGTGTGCTGGAGGCGGCGTGGCTGCAGTGCGCACTTTGTCTCTTGGCCCTCTGCGGCGTCGCAGTGCCTCCTCCTTCTCGTCGTCCTTCTGCTGCTGCTGCTTCCGTTACCCCCGCACAGCGCAGCCGCCCAAGACGCGGATCCTGACACCCCAGTGAAGATTTTGATGTTGAAGCCAAGTTTTTCCACCAAAGCCGACTCTATGTCCACTGCGTTTTACGCCGGCGTGCATGCGTCGCTGATGGCGCACAACTCCACGGCTGAGGACGACGTTCGCGTTGAGGTTGTCGAAAGGGAAGCGAAGCTTGACAACTACGCCACCGTTCTGGAGGAAGTGATGCAGAAAGAAAAGGACATTCTCGTTCTTCTGGCCCAGTTTGATGATGCTTACGTGATGGTGGCCCTTTCAGTTTTGTCTCGCCATGACCTCGTCTCTTTTGCCCCGTTCACCAGGTCGAGTGCGGTGCGTGGGTGGAACCCCCATGTGTACTTTGTGCGCCCCAGCCCTAAGGCCGAGCTGCTGGCACTTCTCCGCTACGCCGTGACTCAGCTGCGGGTGCTTCGGCTGGGCTTCATGTACCTGCAGGGTGATTTTTATGGTAGAACGGAGTATGAGATGGCCCAAGATGTGATGTCGAAGATGGGCTACAAGTTCTGCGACGTCTTCGCCGTGAAAACCGCTTCGAGTGGTGAGGCCGACCCTAACGAGTTCGACGATGTGTGGGAGCGGTTTGCTGCGACTCAGCCGCAGGCTGTGATTATGTTTGGCTTGCCGCTGGCAGCCACTGGGGAATTCGTTACGAGGATGCTGAAGGACGATCGCACCGCCGGCGCGTACCTGCTGGCCTCCGTTGGTTTGCAGCCAACTGTTCTCGACACGTGGCGTGCTGCCGTGGCTGATGATGGTGTCAAGTTTGTGCCCGGGCAGGTGATCACGACGGGGACGAACCCGCTGGCGAATGACGAATGGTACAATGCCGTCGGCCGCTTCCAGGGGGCGATGCGGGATTACCTGGAGAACAGTGGGCAGGGGGTCTACAATGACACGGAGCATTTCCTCAACAATGACGGTGACGGGGAGCTGATGGTTGATGGGTGGGTTGCCGGCGAGGTGCTGGCGCAGGCGCTGAGCGACTGTAAAGGAGTGAGGGACCGCAAGTCGTTCATGGAGTCTCTCTTCAGCCAACGCCGGTATGTAATCGACGAGCTTGTGATTGGCGACTATGGTGGTGAGTGCGAAGGCGCGGCCGAAGCACGGGGGGCCGCCTGCCGCTGCAACCAGGGCGGCACCGCGGTGTACATGAAGCGGTTCGTGGAGGGCTACCGCGCAGAGGCAATTGCTGAGGGCCTCATGACTTTCTACCCCTCAGATTGTAACGCTACATCGACTCACGTGCCGCCGGTGCTTATTGGGGTGGAGTTTCTCATGAATGATAGCGCTGTTGCACAACGTGCATTTGACGAGTTGAACAACGGGTTTGTTGTGGCAATTACCGGCCATAAGTCTTCGTGGGATGAAGCTGAGATCATCGTGGCCTCTCCTCCCTCCACTCTTGCTGACGCACGTGACGCCCTGCAGTCGGAGATGCAGTCACGGCGGGTTCATGGGGTTGTGGGTGTTGTGACGGAGGCGATGCTGGGCGTGGGGAGTGTGGCCTTCATCGACCCGCTGCAGCTCGAGCCGCGGCTGAACAGGTTCCGTCGGCACGTGATCCACCTGTCGCCGACGCTGGAGCAGCAGTTCTTCGTGCTGGCGGAGTACCTCCGGGACACGGGTGTCCGCGCGGCGCACGCGGTGGTCCGCGGCGAGGAGGCGGCGGCGGTGGCGGAGGTGCTGCGGCGGTCGCTGGTGACGTTTGGCGGGTCGCTGCGGTCCGCGACGCTGCTGGCCGGCGGCGACGCGCTGGCGGAGCACCTGCCGGAGGCGGGCGACGTGTTCGTGGCGGGCCTTGCGGCCGGCGACGTCGCTGCGGTGGCGCGGCACGTGGCGTTGCACGAACGGCGTGCGCGTGTTCGTCGCGTTCTCCGAGTTTGCGCTGCT